TCTGCAGGAGAACTGAGACTTTGAACAGTATTTGTTTTCCAGACAGACAATGACTCAAAGCAAACAGCCAAAGCTAAACAGGAATGGATGTCCCTCCACAGCTCTCACCCTGCAGTAGATGTTTATGTGAGAACATAGTTCAGGCTGGATTCTGGGAGGGGAAGAAGTGCGGTTGGCACATTTGCATATAGCAGCAGGGAGGGGAACCAGAGAGGAATGTACCAACACTCTGGTTAGGGAGGTTCTGAATGTGCTGCCTGCAGGCTGCAAGTTAGAAAATGTTTGTGATGAAACACCTGAGCTATTTCTGCTGCCATGCTTCAACCAACCACCTACACTTTGAAGTCAGACATCAGGGCTTCTGGGTACGCTGGAAAAAGTCAAAGTTTTTAAACTAATATTCAAAACAATCTGCTGTTATTTTACAGATTTTCCCTGTTTTGATAAATTACAGAAAATATACATTAACTTACACAATATACATCAAAAAACTGTCGAAAACTGTAAATAATGTCAACATCAAAATCTTTTTAAAGTTTTTTTTTCAGCTCACTGTCAGACTTCCTCTGTGTCATCTGCTCTGGATTAAAAATAAAGTTAAAGATTAGCAGAATAACACACAAACTCTTCCTTAGACTTCTTGTTTCTTACATTCTCCTTTCCTAACTTAGAATTTAGACAGAATTCAGGAAATGTGTTGCTGCACTGTCTCAGACTTGTTTCATACTTTTCATTATTTGGGACCCAAAACTAAAAAAAAAAAAAAAAAAAAAAGGCTTCACTTTACTGGTGAAGCCATTTTAAAGGTTCGGTATCTCCAGAATTATAACTCCCACATCTGTGAAACTTGGTGAGGACACAGACAACACATTCAAAGCAGATCCAGATAGTCAACTGGCTCCAGTAGAGAGTAAAATTTTAATTACTGGCAACTGAAAATGGAAAAATGTGCTAGGATTTCAAACAAGGGTTGTGTTGGGGCTCCAGAAAGTTCCTGTAAGTGTGTATATATATGGATAGATCCATGTTTCCTACCTTTGGTTTAGATTCCACCAACCTTTGAGGCTCTAACATCAGTAGAACTTTATGTGTCGCAAATATGGCAGGACAAGGTTCCAGTTTGTTGCTGAATGGTGACGTGGACTCATTGGTAGGATCATAAACACTGGTGTCCATAGGGGTCTATATGTTGGTGTTATATGTGCAAAGTTACAAGCTGCTTCTATGCTGTCTTCATGTTGAAGGTAAACAATACGTGAGGTTTATTTTAGCCTTACTGAATGTAGAGCTAATAACACAAAATAAATCTCTTGTTGATTGTGTTGTAAAAGCAAGAAAAGATGCTAAAGTGTCGTCATGCAGGAAGGAAATTCTCACAACTATAGTTTCAAGTGTCTGTTGGTCTCAATGTCAAGTTTGTGATGTCGTCTCCTCCTCCTTGGTGGAGCTGGAGGATGACAGAACATGTAGAGACCTAAAGGAATTATTTTGTAATTTGTTTGCAGTGAGTGGTTTGAATTCTAAACTAATTAAAGCCGCAAGCGGCGATGGACGGGTCCTCGCACCTACGCTTGTCGGCCTTCGCGCAC